GATTCAAAAATTTAATATTGCAAAATAACTTATTAGAAATAATAACATTTTAGACACTATAAAAACACAAGCATTCACTGAATAAAAATAATTTGTAATTGTCAACTTAACTGATAAGAAAATAAAAAAAATTAAATAAAATTTAAATTTTAATTAGTTGAAAAAAAATGGATACAAAGATAAACAATAAAGTTAAAGTATTGAACATAAAATTTAAATTAAAACTGTGCAGATCACTTAAAAGTTATATTATTGCTTATGTACAAGTAATAATATAACTGATGATGTGAAATTATAATGTTCAAAATAAGCTACTGGTATTCGTATCACTTTTGATTGCAACTCATTGTAGGAAACATCATATCTGTATCACAATATTGCGCTTGATGAATACCAGAATTTTTTGAATTACAAGGAGAAGTAAAAAAGTTTTCATTTTTTGAGTAGACTTGTCCAAGAATTGTTAGAATCTCTAATTGCATAGTGTCAATGAATAAAATTTTTTCAGATTTAAGTAAATAGCATTCTTTTTTGATAGAAGAATTACTTTTCTAAACAACGTATTTTTCTGCTGCAGATGCTAAATGGGTTTTTTCATTCAGACAGAGTATGTTACATGTAAGTAAATGATCCAAGTAGTGAACATTTGCATTGTTTACAAAACAATACAGCAGCGAATGAGCATAATCTTTATACAATGTCATTAGATAAATGTCAATATTTTTTTTACCAATTCTTTATAGATTACATACTGACAGAATCCTTTAACAATATTTAAATTTTAAAATACTTAATATAATCAAAACAATCCAGGAAAATCAAGTAACACTAACTTAAAATATTTTGTCAACTTTTTGATATTTTTGTTTGATGTTTCATGTTGTATGTTGTTTAATAATTTAAATTTAGATTGTTAAATCTCAAAATCTTGCATCTCATCTTTCAAATAAAATGATATTACCAAATTTAGATCCTTCTTTTACTCTTCCTGTATTTAAAACTAATTTTTTCTTTATGAACAGCATTCTAAAATTCTACTAAAAACGTATGTATTTGTTAAATCTTCAGCATATTATATATTAAAATGTTTGTATGTTGTAACTTTGCATTATGCTAAATCTTCGATATATCTATATATTACGTATAAATATGTTAAACTTTTAAGATTCTGATGATATGATCCTTATGATCTTCTTTTCGAAACCTAATTTTATGTTGTTAGTACACTGAATTGTTTATTTTTTTCCAAGACTTTTATGTTATTTTGTATCACAACTATTATTGTAAACTAAAAAAAAAAAAAAAAAAAAAAAAAAATTACAATATCAAATTTTTCGTCAACAAATTTGTTTTTGTAATTTTGACTTTTGTATTACTTTAAATATTATAAGTCGTAGTATATTTTGACATTACACTTTTGTAAACAGATTACATGCATAAACTTTAGTTAAAAGTAGCATATTTAGTTATGAAGAGTATTAAAAAAAAGGTTATTGAGTTATCACGAAAAAAAAAAAGGATTGGAATAGAAAAAAGAAACATACAAGAAAATATGATTTAAGTTCATTACATTCGATCTAAATTAATAATAAATAAAAAAAGATGTAAATATTCGCAACAATAAAAACTCGCTTTTATAATAAAAAACAAGTGTAAAACCGATAATCCGGTTTTACAATTTAAAAAAACCGAAAGCCGTTTTTTGAAATTTTCTGGTTTTTGCCAAGCCGTACCATGATATTGAGATTACGTTTTTGACGTTTTTGACAAACCACAAACTCGAGTTTGTGGTTTGTCAAAACAATATGAATATAGTCTATAAGTCTATACGAATATAGTCTATAAGTCAAACTCGAGTTTGTGGTGTTTTGTCAAAAATTGATATCAATGTGATGTAATTTAGACATCAAAAGTTTCTCATGGTTTGATATCAAGTCCTAATCTCAATTTGATATCATGATGATATCACAACCATAATTGAATTTATTTATCTATGGTTATGACATCTATATGATATCATATTGAGATAATTATTTGATATCGCAGCATGAGAAATTTTTGATATCATATTAATACCATATTGATCTCATGCGTTGACAGGGTTAGTCCCTAATGAAGTTTTTTTTGAAACATATATTATAAAAAAAAATGCTTAAGATTTCCTCAAAATGTTGATTCGATTCCTAATTCGTATTGCGAATCAAGACTTGTTTTGATTCAATATTCGATTCGAAAAAAAAAATGCCGATTCGCAGGGCCCTAGTATGTATGTATGTATGTATGTATGTATGTATGTATGTATGTATGTATGTATGTATGTATGTATGTATGTATGTATGTATGTATGTATGTATGTATGTATGTATGTATGTATATATGTATGTATGTATGTATGTATGCATCTATGTATGTATGTATATATGTATGCATATATATATATATGTATGTATGTATACATATATACATACATGCATACTGATTCGGATTCAGGGTTCTGAGGGGTCCCAGGTTTGGAACCACTTTGGGGTTCTAATCCTTGGTTTATAGATTTATATGAATATAGTCTATAAGTTTACATAAAAAATTAAATTTTTTTTTACAACTTTATATTAAACTGTTTTTACTGTGATAGCTTTTTAATATAAAGCTTACTATTATAATAAAGGTATATGCAGTTTATTCCCGATGAGTCAAACACCAGTTAACTTGAACTTTTATTATCTCAGGCTGTTTCATTTGGTCCCTTGAAATCATCTAATCAAATACTATTAAAATTCTCCTAATAGTTCGAACCTCGAATAACCTAAACTTCGTTAAGTAGAATCATTTTTTTGTCCCTTTTCAGCAAATTTCTTTGGATAACTCGAACTTTTTGCATGGTAATTAATTATATTGAAATAATTAATTAAAAAAAAAAAAAAAGAAAATCATTTCATATAAAACATAAATGACTGCAGCCTGATGTATCATTTCTTTACTTTTTCATTGTATTTAAATCTTAATAGATCGTTGTCAGAAGTAAAATTAATGCCACAATAAAAGCTAAATCATGATAAAACCGTTAAAAAAACAATTGTTTTATAGTTTAATGAATTTCTAATTAAAAGACTGTTTCTAATTAAAAAGCTATTTTTTAGATGCATTATTATTACCAAATAATAAGGAATTCATTGTTTCGATAAATTTTTTCGAATATCATCTTTTGACTGTGTGAATACAATTCGTAACTTTTTTCGTTGAAGCATAAAAGTATAATGGTGTAAATTTAATGTATATACTTCAGCATTGAATAAAAAAAAATTACCTTAACTCGAACTAATATCTCATATTAATCAATGTTCGACTTAACGGAATTTCGCTTTAGTCGAGCATTTGTTAAATCAAACCATTTTCCTTGGTTTATTGGAGGTTCGAGTTATTGGGAATAAAATGTTATTAAAAAAAGTCACAAAATATTATGCTATTCAAAGTCATATGGTAAGTTAATTTAAGAATTAATAAATATTGAATATGTTAGCAAGCTAATAAGCATGATTAAAAAAATGACTTGTTTCATCAATCGGAGAGTTAATAGTGGGAAATTGTTCTCTTACAAACACGTTCTTTTACTATACGTAATGCTGTCCGTTTCGAACTTTAATAAAGATTGTTCAATTAAAGTATCTATATAAGAGTTTTATACCTTATTTTTATGCTCACTTAGATTTACGGAAAAATCTCTTATAACAAAGTCTTAGAACTTAACTGAGAGCAATCCATTGTAAACCACACTCTGTTTGGCTAGTAATCTTAGGTGTTCTCAAACCACTATTTTACATTATCTGAAACAGCTAGAATATTGCTAAATATTCTAGCTGTTTCAGATGACGTAAAATAGTGGATATTGAATATAAGTAATCTGTAAGTTGGTTTGACAATGTTATGAAAAATATGTACTCTATCTTAATCACACCAGAAAGCGTTAATGATACAGCCCACCGATGCCAACATCGCCTCGAAAATCTGACATACATGCAAAAAAGATAATGCTATCCGTATGGTAATGGCTTCCTACCAACACAAATGTCACTGCAGAGGTTTTTTGAGCTAAACTTTCTATTCATTTTTAAATTTTATTTTATTAGCTATTTAGGTGCTGCAAGAATTTAAAATGGTCTTATCCCAAAGTAGAAAAGCAATGAACCAGGAAGTTCACGCCTCCTTCCTAACCACTGATGTGTATTTAGGAAGAGCTGCCTTTGGACCACGGACCTCCAGTTTTGAAGCCAGAACTCTAACCACGACACCATGGCTGTTGTGCAAAACTAAAAAATTCTTAACTAATTGTCTGAAGAAAAATAAACTTTGTTTTCATTTCAACTTTCATAAAAAGCTCAACCACATGTCGCAAAATCAACTCATCAAAAAATTTTCAAATTTGACTAGAATATATTACCTCACACATTGTATTTAAAAGGCTCTGACTCTACTTTCTACAAGATAGAGCTTTTAAAGCGAGACCTACCTCAAAGTTTATCTTGGCAAAACTTCCGCAAAATTTGAAGAGTTTTATTTGCAGGCCATTTATTATTTACTTGTACGTTGGCAAACAATTACAGACAATTATAGAGCATACATGATTGATTAAAATTCATTTGTTTATTTAATTTTTTTATTGACAAAATATTACCACCAAACATCTAACACGACAATAGTGGAGCGCTCTTTACATGGTGTTATATAAAAACATGCTTGGAAAAGCTAATTTTAAAAATACTTTTTACACTCATTTTCCGAAAAAAGTTTAATAAAATATAACCTGATCTAAAAAACTGTGAGTTAAAAATTTTCAGTTTTTCATTTTAGAATATTGATTTATCTCGAATAATTAACTAAGTTTTTGTTCAAAGTTTCAAGTTGCTCACGTTACGCCCTGGCCGTTGAATGCGTGTGAAACAAACCACCTAACTGGTTTAGCAAACATTCCAAAGTGAAGCCGCAAATGGGCTTTTTTTTAAAAAAATAGAACAATATTAAAATAAATCAAATTTGACCAACGATGCGGTTTTATATTTAATTTCCACTTCTAAATGTAAAAATTTTAAGAAATACACGAGTGAAATAATATGGAAAGTGATGTTTAAATGAGTAATGGATTTTTTGTTTTTGTTGCCAGTTTGATGCCATATTTTAGACAAGCTTTTTTCAAAAAATTATGAGGTACAAAAAAAGATGTTACACTCTTCACATTATACTTTATATAATGACAATTATTTTAACCGTTACAAGTTTTCTCTCAAACAAAAGTAGTAATACGTTTTTTACGGAAGCCGATGAACCTTTGTCAAATCCGTTGTTGAAAAAAAGTATCAGCAAGTTAAACAAAAGTTTTAAGATGAAAATTAATGACAGACAACCTATTTTAGATTTATCAGTAAGATCTTTTTTAAATTCAAATAGAAATTTACCTAGACGAAAGAGAAAACGCAATAATGTTCCTCAAAAAGTGAAGGATATTAATAATTCTGAAACAAGAATCTTGAAAGATCAAACATATTTCGGGAATTATGTTTCCAACGATCGATTACTGGATACCTCAGTTCCAAATAAAAGTTTGCTTGATACAACTCTAAATACCGATACCTTGATGAAAAAAGATGACTTGATTGACTCCTCAAAAGCAAAGACTGAAATATTCAATCCTTCAGTAAGAAAACTTGAAAATAAAGAAATCGACCTTTACGGAAGGTAAAAATTGATAAAAAACAACAAAAATAGACAGAAGCAATGTAATTGTAGCTAAGTATTTAATGCATTTTATAAAGAACAATATATTTAGAGACGTAGTATATTTAGGGAGTAATATATTTAGAGTAGTAATATATTTAGAGGAACAATATATTTAGAGAAGCAATATATTTAGAAAAAGAATATATTTAGAGAAGTAATATATTTAGAGGAACAATATATTTAGAGAAGCAATATATTTAGAAAATGAATATATTTAGAGAAGTAATATATTTAGAGGAACAATATATTTAGAGAAGCAATATATTTAGAAAATGAATATATTTAGAGTAGTAATATATTTAGAGGAACAATATATTTAGAGAAGCAATATATTTAGAAAATGAATATATTTAGAGAAGTAATATATTTAGAGGAACAATATATTTAGAGAAGCAATATATTTAGAAAATGAATATATTTAGAGTAGTAATATATTTAGAGGAACAATATATTTAGAGAAGCAATATATTTAGAAAATGAATATATTTAGAGAAGTAATATATTTAGAGAATATATATTTGGAGAAGTAATATATTTACAGAAGCAGTATATTTAGAGAAGCAATATATTTAGAGAAGATATATATTTAGAGAAGTAATATATTTAGAGAAGCAATATATTAAATATATTGGGGTGGATATACAGGAGGCGGATCCAGCATATATATAGCAATATGTAGCACTATACTGGGGCGGGTATATATATACAGCATATATATATAGCAATATACAGTTGCGAATCGAGAATTTTTTGGTGTTTGAGATAACTAACAAACGAGCAGCCGTGACGCAATGGTACCGCACTTGCCTCAGAAACACAGGATCCGTGGTTCAAACCCCACCTCTATGCAAGTTTTGCGACATCGGTTAGCAAGGAGGCGTGAACTTTGTAAATGTTCATCCGCGGTGCTCTGTGATAAGTCCGTAAGGGCTTCTTGGGGCACCTAAAAAAACTAAAAAAAAAAAAAAAACTTTAACCCATGAAAAAAAAAACACCAAACATTTATATGTTTATACTTATGTCAAATAAGAATTCTTTGCTAAAATTTGTAATGATTGGAGCCTGGGAACAATAAACCTTATTATTTTAGTCTCACAAACGTGAGAGCAACAAGTTGATAATTTTTTTTACTATTCTCAACTAAAGTTATATTCATTAATGAACTTTAAATTTCATACAATAACCTTTTAACATTCAAAAGTTATGACTATGTAAAATGTGTTACCCCCTCAACTTAAGGGGGATTTAAACTTTATGTAGTCATAACTTTGAACGCTAATAGATTATACAATGAAATTTAAAACTATTACGGTCAAAATTTTTAGGCTTTTTTGTTCCCAGGTTCCAATCATCGCAATTTTTTTGCAAATCATCCTTAATTGATATAACTATAAATATATAAATGTTAAGAATTTGTTCCTTAGCTGAAAGTTAGTTATCTCAAATACCAAAAAATGCTGGATCCGCTCTTGTATTTAGAGAAGATATATATATATATATATATATATATATATATATATATATATATATATATATATATATATATATATATATATATATATATATATAAAGTAATATATTTAGAAAAGCAATATATTTGGAGGATATTTAGTGTTATTTAGAGTAATTGCGTCAAGTTTTGAGGGTTCCCTCCAAAACATGCCATTGTTTGGCATGTTTTGGAGGGATTGGCCCATTATTTCTTAAAAGTCTTTCAAACTATATATTTAAAGTCATTCTAAAAAAAAATTTCTCTAATTTTCAACAGGGCGTTTGACTTTGGCTAAATATTTCTAATTTATAAAAATTAATAGAAATATAAATTAAAATTTATAAAAATAATTCATAAGTTTATGATACTTATTTATTACTAATTAATCTGGTCAACTTTAGTAAAGAAGAAAATGATTAAAAACGATAATAATAACGGCATAAAATATTTTTGAGAGTTAAAAAGCAGTTCTAAAATTTTTATTTAAATTTTGTTTTTAGTCAGATCAACCCTGCAAAAAGCTGTCGAGACGTGTTTCTCACTAAAAAAGATGCATTGTCAGGAAACTACTGGATAAAAACAGAAGATGGAGAACTGTTAATGGTTAAGTTTTTTTATTTTTATTTTTTGTCAAACATCATCACAATGTTGATAATTAGATTAGGTGATGTGCGCATCAAAGCACCATGGCATTACTTAATCTTAACCAGTAATTCTGAATACCAATTTATAGCATTGTATAATTTTATCTTAGGCTTTTTTAGTTAATATAACATTTTAATAATGTTTTGTATGTGTGCAAACTAAAATCCTACATTGCCAAAATCACTGAAGTTTGTTGATTTAGGTTGAATATAGGGGAAAATGTTTTCTATTCCCATATAAGGTACTTGTAGCAATGCTGCAATGCCTAGTACTCTAAAAGTCAAAAATTTATGGCAATTCTTTTATTTATTTTAGGTTGCTTGTGGTTTTCCATTAAAAGTACAAACAAGAGCTCAGAGTGACACTGACAAAAATAAGAATAGCATAGGTTTACAATCATGATGTTAATTTGGTTGTTGTTGTTTAAAATTTTTATATGCACATTAAAATATAACTTTGTTTTACAGGCGAAATTAAACTTCAAGAAAACGGTAAAATAATGTCTGGAAGCGCAAACTCTTTGGTTTCCCTGAATAAGGAAAAAACTTTAGAATTAACAAAGAATAATTTAGAAGATGAGAAAAATGTGAAACTTAAAACCAGCAATATCAATAAAAACTCCCAGTCGTTTTTAAAGCTCGAAAATTACAACCAGCCGCAATTAAAAACAAATGAACTATATATTCGCAACTCTAGTCCCGATTCCCAAGTACCTTCAAACTCAATGCAGAAAGATAACCCTCACAACTTAGATGTTGTTCCGACAAAAAGTTCAAAGTTTACAATACCTGGTCGAAAAACGGAAACCAAAAAAACAACTATTATAACATTACCTACGATTGTGACAACAACTATAAAATCCGAAACAACAACTAAAAAAACAATTCCAACAACTAAAAAAACAATTCCAACAACTAAAAAAACAATTCCAACAACTAAAAAAACAATTCCAACAACAATTCCAATAATGACAACAACAATAACAACTTCAACTACAAATAAAATTACTCAAACAACATCTGCTCCGCCAACAACAATTCCTATACCAACAACAGTGCCTACAACTACCACAAAAGCAATAACTGTTACAAGGACAACAACAACAACAAAAACTAACTCTCCAATAGAAACGCCACCACCATTGCAAACTCCTCCTCCTTTAATTTCTCCTCCACCAATAGCTCGAGTAGTTAGCAACATTAATACGCTTACTGACACAAAACCACAATCAACAGCCTTTAACTTGCCTATCAATATGCTGTCAGATGAAAAAAGTGTTGATAAAACCTATAAAACAAGAAATTCACTGATTAACTCTAAACTTGAAAATCCTAAACTTGAAAGTGAAATGAATTTAAAAATTCCAAAAGTTTTACGAAAAGGTTATAAAAATGGTAACGCGGGAGATCTTGGTGATATACAAGATGAAATTCCTCCAGAAACAGGAACAGATATTGGCATTAAATTACAAGCAGTTGGTACGCCTCAAAATACTCCAGAACAAACTATGAAAGTTAACTACAAAGTTGCACAAGAATTTGAGACGCAACCACAGGTCCGAAGTTGGGCATTTAGAGAAAATAACATGTTACAAAATCATGCTTTTGATGAACAATATAATAGCATTGACGTAAGTGAAAAGAAGAAAAACAAAAATGATCCAAAACCAAAAATAAGAAGCTGGACAAGCAATCAGATTGACATGCAAAAAAATTTAACGAAAGATCAATACAACAATTTTGAAAAAAATGATCAAGAAATTGCTGAAAACACATTTAAAGAGCAGTATAAAGAGTTTGAGTACTTGAAAAAAAGGATGGATTTTAAAGTTAACTCTCAAAAAGACGTCTTAAGTCTTCCAATTACAAACGACCAAGAAACGTCACTTAGTAGTTTAACAAATAATGAGGAAAAAGAAAAGTTTAGCCAAAGTAAGCCCTTAATGATAGATAAAAATGAAAAAGAAAAAGAAAAGTTAAGCCAAAATAAACCTCCCATAATAAATAAAAGTGAAAATAATGTTTTTATAGATGAAAAATCTCAAAAAATAACTGAAAATCTAAACGGAGATGCTTCTGTATTAAATAATAATTTTCAAGGTGGCAATAATGTAAATGATAACTCTCTTAACAATTTTCAACTCAACAAAGAAAGTATTTCCGAAAAAAATGGTAACGCGCTCATAACCTATTCAAAGAAAGATGACAATAAAGAAGATAAGTTTACAAAAGCTTTCAAACAAAATAGTTTCTCAAATGATCCATATCTCGTCAAAAATGATTTTTCAAATTTAATTAACCTAGGAAATATCACAGATGAAGCAAAACCAACAGATCGAATGTCTTTAATGATAAAAAGCAATCCACAATCTGAAGAAGCTTTCATAAAAAACTTATCTCATCCTATAAACACAGATAATCAAATCACTTCAGAAAATGATGAAATGGTTTTTAACAATCTGATTGCTAAAAAAAAAGAGACACAAACAGCTAATAAAAGAGGTAAAGAAGCTTATTTAAAAGGTGACGAGTTTGTACTTGATTCGGAGAACGATGAAGCATTAAATAGGTTCTTTAAAAACAAAAGTTTTCAAAACGGAAAAAATGAGCGCGAAACTGACAAAAAGTTTGATGTGTTTAAACCCATAAAACTCAAGCAAATAAGTGGGCCACCGAATCCAATTGTTTCAGAGAAAGAAGAACATTCTGGATCTTATAATCAACAATCTTCAAAATTGAGATATCTTGGCGTCTTAAATGACGATCCAGAAAAATTAGATAAAAAAAAGGAACAATTGAAAGATGAGGGTAAACTGAAAGATCAAAAACTGTTTTTATATAAAAAACTTAGAGGTGATGGTGATGAAAACTCAGAGGCCAAGCCTTCAAACATATATGTAGATAATCGAGTTTTTATCTATGGAGGAATAAAAGGAGGCAAAGAAATTTTACCAACCGTATTAAACACAGTCATTAAGAAAGATAAAGGCGGCGAAGAAGAAATTCAAAGACGTATTAAATTACGCGATTTCTCTGAGGCTGACGCAGTAATTGACTCCAGTCCAAAATCTTTCATAAAAAAAAAAGGCGAAAACTCAATTACCTTTGAAATTGATGATGCTACAAACAAAGATTTGAAAGAAATAGATCAAGATAAACCAATAAATCAAAAGGATAGCTCTAGCATCTTCATAGAAAAAAATATTGATTTTGAAAATGAAAAACAGGAAAAAATTGGTGGTACAAACCCAGTTATTAGACAACTAACAAGCAATTATGTTTCTAATTCAAATAAAGAAAATGAACAACCGTCTTTTTCTCAAAAAGATTTGGAACAAATTAAACGTGTTCAGCTAATTAAAGCCCAAGCACACAATGCAGAAGACGTCTTAACCGGAAAGTTTTCAACTTCAAATTTAAAACATTTCTTATACAAGAATGGATCAGCTGAATCTGATTTTATTGATTCTTATGGGTTTGTAAGAGATGGAACAGGTGGTGCGCATAGAATCTTTGGAACAAATGATATAAAAAAACAAGTAAAACAAACAAACATTCGACCAATACAATCAAGCTTAAATGTGGATAAAAGCTTAGCAAAAGTACAAGCTACAAAATCTTTCAAAAACAAGTTTGACTCGTTTTCAGGAGAACTAGGTGAAGAACAACAACCTTTTAGAGAACATTTTACAAGAAATAGATTGAATGTTGATCCATCACTAGAAGCTGAAAAAAAGGTAAAAGTGAAAACCTCTGATTACGTTTCACCAATCAATCAAGAACAACTTCCAGGAGCTAGTGATAGATTAGACTTTTTAGACATGACAAGCATTTACGAACCTTTAAAAACTATGACTCATAGTCTATCTGGATTGCTTTCAGAAGCACAAAAGAATATGTCAAACATTCCTGGATACTCGGAGGAAAACAAAAAAATGGATGAAGAAGTAAGAAAAAATGCGGACAAAATAGTTACTCAAACAACAGAACTTTTGCATCATGATTCCATTCGTCAAAAAATTGAACAACCAGAGTCGCATCACATTTTAAATGAAGCAACGTCCCCAATAATGGATAAAAGGTGGGAGATAAAAAGTCCTTATGTCATCAAAAATGCTCCTACAACAGGCGCTGATAAACGTACAGAACTTATAGAAGTTGAAGAAGAATTTGCAAAAGAAGAAAGTAAGCCACCAAGTACTGACCCAGTTTTACAAAAGATTATTAACCATATGAAATCGGGATTTGCAATTAAAACCTCTTCTTATACAAAAGGTGCAGATGACAAACGTACAAAAATTTTCGCTGACAACAAACGTAAACAAATTTCCAATAACGCCAATGCAAAACGTACAAAAATTCCATTTAAATGGCCACAACCAGTTAATATTTACATTAAAAATCAAAACGAACACGCCATTAACCGCATTCGTAAAGAAATCTCTGAAGTAAATAGTTTATGTAAGAGAACTTCTAATGAAAATTTTAATGAAAGTTTAAAAGATAAAGTTTTAAACATTTTTAATATGAGCAAACTTGATAATTGCAAAAACTTTGAAGAAAAGGATTTTGCAACAGATAAAAGACTCAATTCTGCAATTACAAATGCAAACATTTTGCAAATGTTTTCACAGAACTCAAAAAAGAACTTCCAATCAACCAATAAAACGTCACTAAATAACAACATGTTGCTAGCTTACGTTAATCCAATAAGTAACAAAACTAAACTAAGCGAGAACATGACGCTAAATAACGTTATGTCTACAAGTAAAAACATGTTGCATGAACAAACTAATTTTCTAAATGCTTTGGACCTAAAAAGAATAGTAACTCCAGCTTTTACAACATACACTGCTTATGTTAAAAGCCACGATTTAAAACAAGAACTTTTTAATGGAATCTTTCCCGAACCTCAGTTCGAAATCTCAGAAAGTCCTAATAATATTATTGAAGGCAATAAATCTAATCTCTTAGATTTTGGATCAAGAGCAAGGAAATTTAAAAGTTCTATACTTGGTAAAAGTAATATACTTCATTTGAAAGCAGACACGTATTTAAAACGTCGAAAAAGGGAAATAAATATAAAAATTGTTCCAAAAAGTATACGCGCTTTAATTCCATCAAAGGTTGGCCATCTTCAACCTTCTAATCTTAAACCAATGCCTCCAGTAGGTCACGACCCTGATGATTCGGGATCGAAAAACTCGCTGATTACTGATGTAGAAACACCTAACAGAAATAAAAAGCTAAAATCTAAAGTTTCCTCAGAAAATGAAGTAAATAAACAAATTATAAATGCAAAAACAAAAAAGTCCGAAGACGAAGACAATAACACATTGAAGGCAAAAGACGAAGATGGAGTTCAAGATTTAAAAGATGATCAAGACTCAGTTGAATTAAGAAAAAATAGCAAGGAAAATGAAAGTGAAACACAAAGAGTGGATACAACTTTTGAAGCAGGCTTAAAAGAATCCGATAAAAATGAACAAAAGGTGAAGAATAACGTGGACAACGATGGGATTAATTTTGACTTGGGAGCTCAAAGAAACGCATCAGAAAAACAAAAGTCCGAAGAAGATTCAGCTTATGGAAATATTACAATATTTAACTACCCTATAAACGTGACTGCATTAGAAGAAGGCATAATGAAACTGATCAATCAGACAACGCCAAGTCCAAAAATTTACAAAGGAAAAGAACAAGACGATTATGTAAAGAAAATTGAAGCGCAAAATAAAAAGTACCCAGAGTTAAAGCTACCTCAAAAACACGGTGAATATATTCCTCCAGATGACGATGAATATGATCATCGACCAACGCAAAAACCCAAACTCGATAAACCTAAAATGGTTTCAAAATACAAAAAACCAAAAAACGAGTTATCAAAAGTAGAAGAGAAAAGTGTTGCCAAAGAAACGGAAAAGACAGTTGCTAATCAATCCAACAACCAATCAAAAAATGGGTCTGAAAACGAAGACAATTTATCATCCTACAATCCGCCTTTGCCACCACTAAAAACCAATATACGTGAAGATAAAACAAGTAAGGATTTAAAAATTCCTAATATAATTGATACAACACCTACTGAAAGCTCACCTCATTCTCTACCTGAGGTAGCAAAAAGTACAAGAGAATCTAATAATAGTGAGTTGTTTAAATTGACTCTGAAAGAGGGAAAAATCAAAATTGAAAAATTAAAAAGCGAAGAAAGCGCTACGTTTTTAAAACAAATAAACTTGGGAGATGCTTCTAATTCCAGTAAACAAAACAACTCTGACTCTAAAAACAACTCGATAGCATTTTCTAACTTAAGTAATCAAAACATCAGTTCAACTAATATGCAAAATAAAACTTCGGAAGAAAAGATTCCCAAATCATATGATTCGGCAAAAATTACAAATGCAACGGGCAATCCTATAGAAAATATCAATACAACTATCAGTCATTTATCACACGCAAATCGAACTGAAAATCAACAATCGATAAATAAAACAATTGAAACGATAAAATTGTTTGAAGGAAAAAATGAAAGCAAAATAAATCAACCTTTAGAACCTTTGAAACAAATCCTTAACAAAAATGAAACACTCAAAGCTTCTCAATCAAATTCAACTGCAAATGAAACCAAAAATCAAGAAATTTTAGCAAATAAAACACAAAATAAACATATTCAACAATGGCAGTTAAACCCTGCAGAACTAAGTACATCAGGTATAGCACCTTTTCCTATAGATGCAAATAATGCTATTCCTTTAATACCGATTCCTGTTGATAGTCCATTGGGAAAGCTTCTTTATCCTGCATTAAATATCCCAGCAAATAATCAAATACGAATGTTTCATCGTCTAATCAAACTAAATAATAACTTATCAACAAACTCTCCGTTGTTGGAACCTGAAAAAAAGACCATTGGAGCACCAATAGAATTATCAGAAACCAAGCGTGTTGAAGATACCATGAAACTATTTAACAAACAAAATCTAAACCCAAATGATTTTACCACGTTATTTCAAGTTTCAAAAGATCAGACATTTAGTAATCTTGATACAGAAACAAAAAACAAGTTGACGAGTATGATAACTCCTGATAAGCGTGGCTCTGTTTCAATAAATAAAACTACGGCGCTAATATCAGGTTCAAATGATGTTATTATTGATATACCAATTTTTAAAGCTTCTGAATTACAAACTCTTTTATCCGTACCTTATAAAAATTCGTTTGACCCAATGCCAGGCTCTGCTGTTCACATAGAATTAGAAAACAAAAATGGGCGTTTTGTAATGGTGCCAGATGCTTTAAACTTTGCTCAGACTTTACCGCATCAAAATATAAAACTTTATTCTCGATATAAAATTCCAAAAATTCAAAAAAAATCTCTCATAAGAAATAAGCATCAACACCCAAATAAAGTAACTAAAATAAACAATAATTTATCAAGAAACATTCTCGACAGAAACAAAAACTTGCATAAAAAACAAACAGTTGACTTAACTTAAATTAATATATATAAAATTTATTGTTTGTTTTGCACTTTTTAACAAATCGTATTTTTTAAGCTAATATAGATAACTTAAATATTTTATATCTCTCATATACTAACCAATAATTACAACCTGGTCGATAAGTTAGTATTCGTAGATACATATCATCATAGACACATAAACGAATGAACAATAAGTAATTATAATTGCGGACATATAACGGACACCATCATAACAATTACAAAAATAACAACATATTTTTATCAATATTTGTAAATATGATATTTTAACCTTTTTTAGAAAAAAATAAAAAATGTACTTTTTAAATTATAAAAAAATTTGTAATTATTTTGTTATTTAAACTTATGGAGATATTGACAATGCAGATTTCAAACATTGTGTAAACTCTAAACATACATTTATGCTTATGCAAAATGAGAATGTTTTTCAAAAAAATTGCAATGTTTGGAGCCTGGGAACATTAATAACCGAAACAGTTCTCTACTCCTACCCAAATCACGAGGGCAATAAACCTAATTTCATCGACAGGTTCTAAATTCATCTAATATTCGTTCATTAAAAAAACCTAGCAGATATTTTCTGAAAGTTTAATAATTTTTTTGCCAGGGTATTTTCGTTCCCAGGCTCTGATGGCGGCAATTTTTTGCAAACCGTTCTCGTTTGACTTTAGCACAAAAATACTTAAAATTAGAGTTAGCACTTTGTTTAAAAGTGTTATATTTGAAGCATGAAAAAATCTTGCATAAACCACTGATGAACATGATTTTCAAAAAACTTTTAAAACATTAACAGCAATCGTAAAACTTTAAATATTTCCATCAATATTATTATTGAACTACTATTTAAAATACATTTTTTCAACAAAAATATTTCATCGTACAATAATGTTTAAAAAAAATAAATAGATATGTTCAAACTAGATTAAATTAGTTAACGTCTGATTAATAAAGTCAGCTTACTAGCAGATTAAATCAAAAAATCTTTTTCATTTATATTTCTTATAATTTTAATAACAAAAATTTATAATTTACAAGTGTATTTTATTTTAGAAAATTTTCTTACTTAAGAGGAATTTAAAAGTAGGATGAAAAAAATAAACAAATAACATTTCTAAATTTATTTGTTCTGTATTTACATATCATTGCAAATACTGCTTTTTTAAAAATGTTACTAACATTTTTAAAAAAGCAGTGTTTGCAATTTGCATTGTATTAATTGACTATTGATACAACTCCAGCTTAAACTAAATAATACTTTGATTATTTCGTTAACTTAGTAGACATTACTAGTCAACTTTATTTCAAATCTTGACTTAATAAGTCAACTTTATTTTAAATCCTGGTTTAAAAAGTTAACAAAGTCAAGATTTGACTCAACTCTTTTAACTCAAAATTTTTATGAAACAAAAAAATGAAATAATATATAAAATAAATTTTAAAATATATTCTCAAAAATCATAAATAATTACATTTTCATCAAAAATATTTATAACTATAACATAAAAATTAACTTAATTTAAATTATAAAATTGTAATTAGAAATTCTTAACATTTGTTAAGCAAATTTTATGAATTAGAAATTTTTGTTACAAATTTATAATAAATGACAATATAAAAAACAGAGTTATTTTAATAAATAAATCACAAAAACAAAATGAGGTTTAAAAAAAAATGAAACTATAGCTTAGCATTCAAAATACTAAAATTAAAAAAAAAATTTAAGATGTGATTTGGTCTTTAAAAACCTCAAACAAGTATGCTGGAATTTGTTCTTCTACAATCTAAAAACGAAAAAATTTTTAACTTTAATTCCTTTTAGTAAAAAGAAAAGATTACGTTGAAATTACCCTTTTTCAGTTTAAATAACAACAACAAAAAATTAACCCTTTTAACTTTTTGGGGTTTAGCAACAAACAAAATAAAAAAAATTTATGTTTAAAAATAAATTTAATATCTTATCGTACAAGTTTAAAGATGAATACTTTAACAAATTTTAAGAAGATAAAAAGTAAAAAACAAGAACACCTTTCTAGATAAATCAGCAAAAGTAACAAACTGATCCAGAAACGACAATACATTTATAACATCTGAAGATAGCTCTGTATATTTTGCGCTAAACAATAACACTCGATTTATATATAATGTTAAAATAGAACACCCATATATAACAAGATAAGATTAAACCTTATAATAATGCCCTTAAAATATTTGCATAAAATATATTTTAATTAAATTATAATTACATCTTCAAACTTACTTGACAGTGGTGGAGCCAACTGTAGATCTTACAAACTGTCCTAATAGCATAATAAGTTGTTCAATGCAGTCCGAATGATATTGCTTTAACAATGTTACAAGACCCATTGCAAAACTTGTACTATCCAACGGTTCAGTAATTTTTTTAGAAACCATGCCACCTTTGAATAAAAATCGATATTAAAGCTTAAAAAATATCATTTATATATTTTTTACGAGAAAATGCTGTAAGTGTAATGTAAAAAATATAAGACATTAATTTAAAAAAATATATTTTTTTATTATTAAATATTTACATTAGCTATAAAACTACTTCAAATGATAAATACCTAAAGACTTTTGAAAAGATAATTTAGGTAGTTGACTAATAACCAACAAAGAGCAAAAGATAGAAAAATATGGCTGCTTTTTAGTTGTTATATATATCTAAAATATTTATAAAACTATGTTAATACATATATAAAGAAAAAGTTTTCAAATTACTAGTACAACAAAAGTGTGAAAAATATATTTTGGCTACCTTTAAAGATGGATTTCCAATACCAGTTGATTCTATGTAGGGTGTCATTTCATATAACAAAGGATTATCTTCACCAGGATAGGGAAGTGTAGGATCTTTATAATGAGCTTCAATATCTTTCATTACAGAACTGAAAAAGATTTATAAAAAATTCTTTTTTTCCAAATAATTCTATTCTTAAGATATATATAACAAAAGAGTTTAATAATACACACACTCATTCAAAGTTTGCAATGTATTAAACAAAAGTTTTGACTCACTCATTTAAAGTTTGCAATGTATTAAACAAAATTTTTGAATCAAATTTGCACGAGAATGAAAGTTCGTTAGCAATTTGTCGACGAATAACCTGCATCTGACCTACCTAAATTAAAATACTTTAAATCTCTTGGAGATATACAACATGAAAACAACAGAATATTAAAAACTTAAAAATTAAAACCAAAATGAAAATTGAAAACAACACGAAAACTATAAATAATGAAAATTGAAAAAAAACACGAAAATTGAAAATAATACGAAAATTACTAAAAAATCATTGTTTGTTGCAGTGTTTTAAAAAAAGTTTTAGGTTTTACTACAATCATTTTATTATAACTGAAAGCTACAATAAATTGGGGAATAAGAAATTTTTAAAAAGTTTTTTTAGTAGTTCATGCTCTTAATTTTACCTCATGTAATTTTAAAATTAAAAGTTAAATGAAAATTAATGTTAACTTAAAGTACTTCTCAATGTCACCAATAAAATATAACTTAATATATACACACAATATTAATATATACTTAATATATAAGAACATTATTTTACATATATATAAGAACATTAATATGGACATAAATTTCATACCTTAACAACAATATCAGTGAGACTCAACCAATACTTCATAAGTTTGGGAATAATGCTCTGGTATACTCTCGATGGATTATCTTGATGTAAAAATATTGTGTTAACATTAAAAAAAAACATTCTTATTTGAAATTCAACAGTTAATTGGCTGAAAATGAGATAACAGTTAATTGGCTGAAAACGAGATAACAATTAATTGGTTGTATACTAATTTATAGTAGCAGTTGAATTGTACCAGTAAATGAATTAAGTTTTAATTAAAGACATACAAGAATTATTTATAATAACTATAATTATTTAGCATTTAGCTTAAAAAAAGATCTAACTTTATGCTTCTATAGGTAGTACCATGCATCAAAACGGCTTCCTAATAATATTTCTGATATTTTTTGGTTTTAAATTTTGATAAAACAGCCAGTAAAAGAACAAAGTGTTTATAGAATAAAAAAACTGAATTTTACATATTATTCATATGTTTAAACATATATTTAGTATTTATATATTTAAAAACTTACTTATCAGTCCTTTTAAAGGTAATATTGCTTTGGCAAAGTCAGAAACAATTTTCATTGAGTTTGGATCTTCATAAATTCCTTTATTCATCATCACATCAATATTCTATTTTTTTATTTATAAGACATTATTAATCAAAACTAATTTGTCAAATAAATAAAGAGACCAGAATTAAAATACCTGCAACTCTTTAACAATCATAAATGAAATGAGCTTATCTAATCCAACCAACCCTGGTGTTCCAATACTTTTTTGTATTAAAGAAAATATACTAGAATTCATGACTTCTTCGCGAGTTCGAATATCAAACCAAGAACTTAACTGTTCAATGTATGTCGTGGTCCTAAACACAGGTTCTTTAGAAATTTTTATTCTGAATAAATTTTCAATAAAAATAATAAATTTTAACATAAAATATTTTAAAATAAATACTTAAATGTAAATTTAAAGATAAATTTAAATTAAAGTATGAACTTAAAATAAATATTTAAAATAAAGCAAAATTTGGTCAGCTGTATATTATATCAATATGCCCATTTCATGAATTTAATTAACTAAAAAACTATCTATTATCCATTGGTTTAAAATATAAACAAATATATATGCATATTGGTTTAAAAAAAAAAAAAGAGCTAACTATATAAACAAATATAAATACAGTAAAAATGAACAATGATTATAAAGAATTAAAATAAACCCTAAAATAATAAAAATATTACTTTGGGTCTGTGATTCGCAACACCTCCCTAGCTAATCTTCCTATAAAGTTAACAGAGCTATCAATAGGTAAAAATCGTGGTATAGGAACTGTTGATGATTGATAAATTGATTGCCAATCCATTATCTATTAAAAAACATTTTCTAATAAATAAAACTAATAAAAATTTTCAGATTATTTCAAACATGAAGGAAACATTTACATTTTGTTTATATTATATTTATTTTGAACTTTTATACATTCTTTTTAACTGAATGTAGTAATTTAATAAATAAAAGCATTAATATATAACAAAAACCTTAGTTTCTAAAAAACTGTTGCATTCTTGCTCAATATTATAATTAATGATTCGAGAAACCTCCTCTTGCCATATTTTTAACCCATAAATTTCAACATAGTCTTGAATGTACTCAAAAGATCGACAGAATGCATCCATACTAAGCCCAAGCACATTTAACTTCTGAACAAGTTCTCCAGGCTAAAAAAAACTAAACTTAATAATTTACTGGGTGTATTTACAAAATGATACTATAAAAAAAACAAATTAACAAACCTTTAATTTGCTACTAAAAATTAATCCATTGTGTAGAGCTTTTGCAACTTGTTGTACAAGTTCTTTGCGTATACCATCTTCGAGTAGTTGTTTAGGATCAATCTATAACAGAGTAATTAAAAACAGTACTCATTGTGTTGACTCAATCAATGATTCTACTTAGAAGAAAATTAAAGAAAAAAAGCAAATGAAAAAATAAGCATTTTTAACTTTTATATTATCGCTTGAGATCTTTTTTATTATTTACAAAAATTGTAAAAAAACTACTTTTACTTGTTTACGTGTTTCTAAGTGTAACAAAGAGTTTCATTTTTTTTTTACAAGCAACTACTATTAGAGTTGGAAGTTATGGGAAGAGAAAAAATGAAGTTTATACAGCAAGATAATGATTAACAGAAAACTTAAAAGATTTCAAATTGTATAAATTGTGAAAACAAGATGAAGGAAGTAAGTTCTAAATAACTGACGTTTGACAAAAAAAATTTGTGGAGCACTTAGGAACAATCACAGTAAAGGATGAGACTGTCTTTGTAAAATAAAATATCACTCAAGTGACATTAAATGTTGAGTAACATGAGAATGAACCTTAGTAGGCAGCACAAGACTCTATAGAGCAGTGCCCATTATAGTATTTAAATAAAAGAGAAACATTACAATGATGTAACAATGGTTGAAAGTTGGCTGCAAAAGCAGGTCCTACTATGTTTACAATGCATTTTTGCATCCTGTCTAAAAGAGAAAAAGCATCATTTGAGGATCCGCTCCAGATTGGCTAAAGCATTCTATACAAAGACAGATTAAAGATTTATAGAGATAAAGAATAGAATCTGAAATAAGAAAGTAGCGAGCACGATAAAGAGATGCAACCTTAGCAGATACTAATTTTGCAACTAAATTTGCAATTTTGTATTATATGGCCAAGAAAAATTGGAAGTAAGACTTAGTTCTAGAAGACAAAGGGAAGATGACTCATTGAATATATTACCATTCATAAATGTAGGAAGATCTAGATTGTTGTGATAACACTGAGTTAAAAAAATTGAGTTTTATCTGAGTTAAAGTTCACCAGATGCTGTGAGCCCCATGCTGTAGCAAAAAATATTTTAAATAAGAAAATATATTATATCTTTACATGGTAAGTGTAACATGTAGTCTAAGTGTAACATATAGTCTAAGTGTAACATGTAGTCTAAGTGTAACATGTAATCTAAGTGTAACATGTAGTCTAAGTGTAACATGTAGTCTAAGTGTAACATGAAGTCTAAGTGTAACATGTAGTCTAAGTGTAACATGAAGTCTAAGTGTAATATGTAGTCTAAGTGTAACATGTAGTCTAAGTGTAACATTAAAAAAATTTAACTTAAAAAAAGAAGTGTATCCTTTTTTAAGTAAAAAATGCAGAAATAATTTTTAAATTCAAATAATTTTTTTTAAATAGCGTAAAAGTAAAACAATAAAAGAGCTTATGTAGTATAGATAGATATAAAATATCTTATATAAATAAATAGAGAATAGCTTATACAAATAAATATAAATAGATTATATACAGTTAATTCCTGGTAAGTTGAATACTGGTTAACTTGAACTTTTGTTATCTTGAACTGTTTCAATTTGTCCCATCAATTAATTACTATAAAAATCCTCCAGTAAGTCAAACCTCAGATAACTGGAACTTCGCCAAGTCAAACCATTTTTTTGTCCCTTTTCAGCAAATTCCTTCAGATAACTCAAACTTTTCATATGGGAAATAAAGTAATCAAAATAACTTTTATTTTTTTAAAGATGTCATTCCATTTAAAACAAATAAAAATAGCCTAATATTTTGTTGTTGTTGTATTTAGATCTTAATAGAACTCTAACAAATAAATCATAATATATATCGTTAAAAAAGCAATTATTTTTTAGTCTTAATTAATCTCTTAATAAAGAAACTAGCTTTTAGAAGCAATTTTATTACCAAATAATAAGTACACTATTGTGTTGCTAAACTTTTATGTTATCTTTTGAGTAGAATAAATACAATACGTAACTTCTTTCATTGAAACAATTACACTTTTATTAGAATAATCATGTTTATTTAATGTTTATGCTTTAGCATTGAATAAAGAATCGCCTTGACAGTGCCATCAAAATGGGTTTAGAAGTGGAGGGAGGCAGGGGGGACAACAATTTGAAATTTAAAAAAAAGTTCTCTATATCTTGAAATTAAAAAAAAAAACTTTTAGAAAAAAAGTCAGGGAGAGGGCATGTGCTCTAACAATTTAACATTTGTTAAAGTCGAACCAATTTCCTCGGTCCCTTAAAGGTTCGAGTTATTGGGAATTAACTGCAGATATAGACACTTTAGATGCGGTAGTGGTGTAGTGGTAGAGCGCTCGCTTCATAAACGAGAGGTTCCGAGTTCGATCCACACCACGTCCTTGGTAGTACCGCGCTCAACTCGTTTCTCCACGCAGCGGCCTTGTTCGTCAAGGTTCGTGTTTCGGAGTTATAGAGTTGAGAGAGGGTTATAGCCACAAATAAGTAGCCTCCTCGTCTGTAGTGGCCTTCTCAGCCTTGAGGAGGTGAATTAAAAAAAAAATAAAAAAAAATTAAAAAAAAAAAAAGATAATCTATAGAACCTATATCTAGAGTGTAATTTTTATAAAGTTTATAAGAATTTACCTCTCCACAGGCAGAGAGATACATATTATATTAAGAAATCAAACATTTTATAATGAAATAGTGAATTAAAATTTAGAAAAAAATGTTGTTTTAGACAATTGCAAAAAATTAAAAAGCAATTCCTAGAAGTAGAAAAAGTAAAATTATGTGACATGATACTTTACTGACTCAAATGTGATTTATAGATTATAGAATACGTTTAAATTATATAAATATTTCATATTTTTATATGATATATATTTTTTTGACATATTGTAATATCATAAAAATCATAATCAAATTAGCAAATATAGATATCATTAAGACATAATTTCCATAAAAATTTTTCAATATTTGATTTCAGTATTTTATATATTTTTTCATAATTAAATATAATTTCCATCTTGTAATGGAAACATTCCAATACTTTACATTTAGTTATTATATCACTCCATTTGATTATTTAATCAATATCTTTGTCTAAAATAATTTTTAGCCTGGATTAAAGTAAGCAAAGCTATTGCATACTGTACCAGCCTAAATGTGCAATTGTATGTATAGACCATCCATTTTTAAATGTAATCTTTGTTGCTTCATTCACAACATTTTTTTCAAATCTTTTTAATATTGTGTAGTAACCTGAAATTTTTTTCGTTATTTCAAATACTTTTTAATACTATACTTTGAGAGCCTTTGAAAAAAAAAAAAAAATCAATGTGTGACTCATTAAAAATTTAAATTTCAATATAAAGAATACAAAGTTTAATATAAAGATAAATTTTTAATAAAAGCTACAGGATTTAAAATAAAGAATCAGGGTTTAAAATAAAAAAAATCAGGTTTTGATATAAAAAATAGTTTAGATAAAAAAACAGAGTTTGATATAGAGAAAACAATATATAGATTTTAGAGTTTAATATATATAAGTCAGATTTCGACATAATGAGGATTTATAACATAACAGGATTTAAACATAACATAACAGGATTTAAAAAAAAAAAATTACTATAGTAATACACTAACACTATCTACTCAAACCAACTTCAACATTTTTTATTATTATTGTATCTGGATTATATCAATATTACCATACCTTAATTATTCCAACAAGAGTGGTTTTCATAAGTAAAATACCTTCAGCAAATACAGATATAGCATGTGTATGTTTTGCCACCTGAAATAAAACAAACATAATACTTAAATTGATTTAAAAATCAACCAATGGAGAAATTTTTAAAATCAACTAAACAGTATAAATAACAATGATAATTTTGTCATTCAAATTATCGACTACTTTGCTGTTAATTTTCCATGATGATGCTTGACAAGAGACAATTTAATGTTTTAACTGTCAATGTAGGTACATTGACAGTTAAAATGTTTGACAATAAAATCTAAAAACAGGCGTTTTAAGATTTTATTGTCTAAAGCTTAGTTAAAGTATCATAAAATTGAAACTAAAGAAGATATTGAACTATTGTTTTTTTTACTTGAAAAATAAAGTTTTTATTAAACAAATCTTTCATCTTGAATGACATACTCAAACATGCAAATAAACATTATCAAACATAAAAACAAAGAATCAATGAAAAATTGCGATATATCAAAATTGGCACAACAAAAATAAGCATGTTTAGAATATAATGTTAGAATGTTTTTAAATAAACTTTATAATGAAAAATCACTTTAGTTATTTAAACATATGAAAAATTATCTCCAAAATTCAAATTTAAAAAACAGGTTGAATGGACTTGTGGCATTATTCATTCAAAAATATCTGAATATCAGAAAACATGACACTAATTGTAAGTTTAACAAATATTCAAGACAATAAAATATGTATGTATATCAATAAATCTGACTTTGATTGTGGAAGACACATAACATCATTAAAAAAGTCATCTGCAAAGGCATTGCTGCTTATTTAAAATTAGCTAAAGCAGGCCGTAAAATAGGCAGTAACAAAACTTTTTTCCTTATTGTTTTCCATTTCTTTCTTCAAATAAGTGTCTGAATTAAAGTGAGGATTTTAAATTTTTTTTTCGTGAAAGTATATCAATACCAAACCAACCTAAATCTATATTAAAAGATAGTAAATTATCATAAACATTATGTAGTAAATATTAAAACTGTCTGATCTAATCAATATTAATAATCCCAAAAAAATGTGACAACCATTATTAAACATTTGCACTTAACAAACAGTTGCACTTTATTTGTAGATTGTATAAGACTTAAATAAATACATCGCTTGTCTCCTTTAACTCAGTTTATTAGCTATGGGAACAAAATTAAAATTTTATTGATAGAAAACACACAAAAGTTTAGTTATGTTTTTTCTAATCTACTAAATTTTATAAAAAGGAAATCTCAAATCTATAAATACCTCATATCTCTCATCAAGTTGAGCATAATCACGAAGTTTGTCTTTATCTAAGCGAGTAGGTACCTAAAAATAAGACACATAAAATTTTGAATCTTTATCAAAAAATGAATCAAAGGATTGCTTTTTGCCTTTCCAGCGTTTGTATTAGTATATTTTTTAATTTGTTTGTATTTTTTTAAAAACATGTTGTGGTTTCAAAAAATGTTTTAATTTTCCAAATTAACTTTTAAGTTTTTAAAATGACCAAAGAAAATGTTAGAGAAAAAATTAAGCACAATTACTTAGAAAATACAAATAAAAGCTACAATTCAATAGCAAAAGAGTTGCAAATACATCCCTACATCATTAGTTGTGTTATTTAACATTTTTACAAAACAAAATCGAACACGAATATGGTAGGGAAGAAAACTGGGTTTTTAAGATGATTAACAGTTTTATGATTTCAATCTTCTCCAAGAAAACGTGCAAAAAGATACAGATTTTCACATAATTTTGAAGTAAAAGTTTGAAATAAACACGATCTTCATTTTTTCAAAAAAAAAAGAAAAGTGCAAAAAACCCACTGCAGAAAGTTTGTTTTCAGTTTTCTTTCTTATTAAAGATGGACTTATATCAAGATGATAACTTATATCAGCAAAAAATTTAGAAATTTGTAGGTATGGCAAAAAATCAGTACCCTATATTTTAAAGTTAACACTTTCTTGTAAAATATACGTTAAAGAGTGTTTACAAAAACATCTTTTACCACGCACTATCATTTCTATCATTCAAATTATAGTAGACATGGGTTCTGACCTGATTTAAGACATTATAGTAAACTGGCTATTTAATGGTATAAACAAAATGACACAAAACAGCAAATCCTCTAAACTGCACAGAAAATTATTAAAAAAAAAGTTATTAAAAAAAAGTTATTAAAAAAAAAAGTTATTAAAAAAAAAAGTTATTAAAAAAAAGTTATTAAAAAAAAAAGTTATTAAAAAAAAATTATTAAAAAGTACTGAGCAATTATTTAACAAAAAGTAAAATAAAAAAATTATGCAGGAACATAAAATTTTAAAAATGTTATTAAAAAAAGCATCAAATAGTTTTGATTGTTTATCATCAAATAGTTTTGATTGATGTGTGTTACCAAAGCAAAAGTTTGAAATTTTATTAAATGAACACAGGAATAAAATAAATTTTTTGAAACATTTCTTCTTATATTAATGCATTCAAAACAAAAATTGATGAGTACTTTTTTTTAGTAGTTTTTTTACTTTCATTTATTTTGTGTACAAATTTTATTAACAAGCGCGTACACAAAAACTTTCATAACAAACATTCTTAAAGAGAATAATTTTAAAAAGATTTAAAACTGATTAAATAAGTCAAAAATATTGATTAGATGAGTTTAAAATGGTGATTAGATGATTTGGTCAAAATTATTATTTTTTGAATAGTAAATAATATATAAATTACCTCCACCATTTTTTTTGAAAGAATGTTTATAATAACAGCCAGTAAAGCAAATATTGATTCTGGTATAACTTGAAGAACCTACACACACAAATATTTATTAACAAACAAAAAATGTGTAATTTTGTAAACAGCAATTTAATAAAATTTGAAACAAAACAATTTAAATTTTTTAAAGCAATAAATTAATTATTATAAAATAGTACTGCTTTAATTTTTTTTTTTGAAGTGATTTTGAAAAATGAAAAATTTTAGGCCAGAATTGTTAGAAAAAAAAAATCTATATTTTCTTATTTAAAAAACGAAATGTGAGTAAAAAATATAAGGATTATTTAAATTTTTTCTAGCTACAACCCTTACCTAAATGTGGGCTATTGATAAGACACCTAACTTTATATATGTAGCTTTATATATGATACTGTTACCAACCATATTTCTTACAAAGATATATACTACTAAAGTCAAGGACTACAGAGCAGCATTGTTGACTGAGGACTATACAAGGACTATAGGGCAGCATTGTTGACTGAGGACTATACAAGGACTATAGGGCAGCATTGTTGACTGAGGACTATACAAGGACTATAGGGCAGCATAGTTGACTGAGGACTATACAAGGATTATAGGGCAGCATTGTTGACTGAGGACTATACAAGGACTATAGGGCAGCATTGTTGACTGAGACTGTACTAGAACACTTCTTTTATATATCTGGTACTAATGATTATCTACACCCCAGAGTTGTTACCATAAGGATTTGTAGACAGCACCCTTTATTATTATGATTTAGAACCATCAACCTCATCTTTGTAAAAAATAGTTTTAGTAGATCTTGATGCCTTAAATATTTCATGAAAAGATTTTAATGCATTAATCTTTAAAGAAAAATAATTTTTTTTTTTTTTGATTTCATTTCGTTATTTTATATTAGCTATTACTTGTGTTGATATTTGAAGATTTTTTTCTATTAATATTGGCAAAGGTAAGTCTGCTACATGTCCTATATCACTTTCACTTCCCCTCTTCCATGGGCCATTTTTTGACATAATTCTCAAGAATGGAATAGTTCTGCATTATAAAGACAAGTTTACCTTAAGTTTAAGTAAGTTGAATCTGCGCTTGCAGCCAACCTTCAACTTTTGTACATCCTCGTAAGGTTGCTTCTCTTTCTCTTTTCTATAAATACTATTACTATTACGAGCGCTGCTTAAAAGAGCTAGTGTCTCTTGTGCCCTCTACTAAAATTCATTCTTGTGTTACTCCTCATTTAATTAAGTCTCATCCTTTTACTGTGACTGTTCCAAGTGCTACAAAAATTCTTATTTGTTTAGTTTTTTTCCTTTGACCTCAGTTCTTCAAATTTGCTCCCTTTATCTTGCTTTATTGATTTATAATTTGCAATTTTTCAAGTTGCCTGTTGATCGTTATCTTGCTTTATAGACTTTATCTTTTCTCTTATAGTAACTTTAATAGTGGTTGCTTACAGCCTTGTTAGAAGATGTTTAATAAAAAAAAAAATCTACCTTGTCACTGTCAAGATTGTATCTATGATCAATGAAGACAAAGCCAGAAGCAGAAAATGTTCTTTTAAATGATGCAGAGGTTGGTGGAGTTGCCAACCAGGATCTTGCAACATTTAATAGGATAGGCAGTTTAGTTGCATGCTTTTCACCATGCCAAGGTACTCTTGAGTGCCGAATACAATGGGGGGTGAAAATAAACGGGTGGGTGGGAATTTTAATCAAAATCTAATAAACGGGAGGGAGGAGGGGGGGGGGGAGGAGGAGGGGGAGGGGGTGTTGGTGGAGGTTTTTCTGAAATTAATAAACGAGGGGGGCATTGAATATGTCCCCCCCGTTTATTCGGCATTCAAATTATGCATGCTCAAATCAAATGCGCATTTGACTTGCGGTCAAAAGCACATTTTCTAACAGCTGTTAGGGTAGGGTTAGGTTGTTTTATCATAATTTCAATAGAATTTAATATGCTGATATAAGTTTTATACTTTGCAAAGTATAAAACTTATATTCAGCATATTAAATCCTATAATTAAAACCAAAGCTTTGTTGAGAAATAAACTAAAAGTTCATTTTTAGCAAATCGAGATTTAACAGGTCGACAATTTGTAAAACCTGTTTACACTGAAAGTTTTTGTTTTTATCGGTGACTGAAAATTATTTTCAAATTTTTAAGGCCGATTTTCACTGAATTTTTTTTTTACTTTTGAGATATATAATTTTTTTGTCAAAAAGTAAAAATTTTGTTATTTTTAAGGTTTTTGACTGTTTTCCCAACATCTTCAACTACAAAATCCTCTGTATCGTCTGTATTCGAAAACTAACGACACAAACCCAACTACATAACTATGCAAACCTAACTATATAACTACGCAAACCCAACTAGCATTCTTGATATATTCACTATTATTACATAGTTTATTATCTTAATATTGAATATATTTTCAAATTTTTAAGGCCGATTTTTACTAAATTTTTTTTTTTACTTTTGAGATTTTTTTTTTTTTTTCGGTAACAAGTAAAAATTAATAAACGGAGGGGGACGGGGGGGGGGGGGGGAAGACGTTTATTAGGAACTCAAGAGTATTGGTTTTCCCTGCATTTTTAGATCTTTTTTTTTTTTTTGTATTTTTCCATTTCTAATTTAATAGGTGGATTTTCGTGTGCTTGATGTGAAGTAGTCTCTTCCTTATCATTTTCTAAAATAACTTTATATTTATTTTCCTCTGAACTTTGTGCATTGCCAGCACCAGAGTTGTTACCAGCAATACTATTAATAATGGAGCTTGAGACAGATAATAAAGAATTCTCAAAGTATTCTTTGGTTGTGGGGAAGTCATCAATCAGTTTTTGAATATTTTTATCATTAACATCAAAAAGATGACCTCAAAAACATGAATGGAGGTAATGACCATGTGAAAATGCATGTAGTTTACAGCCTTTGACTGGGAATCTCTTACTTAGTTCTAATAAAAAATACTCCAAAAATTTATCTACTAATTGATTGTTTCCCTGAGCAAGATTATTTTTTTCTTTCTCAACAAAGCTGATGAGAGATGTCACTTTCGGCAGTGACATCAATTTGGATCTCTCTGTCATACTATAAAAAAACTGATAATTCTCAAACTGATCACCTGATGGCCTGCAGCAAATAATAATGACTGTTCCATCTTGTGGTTACTAAATGAGTCAATTATATACATTTGAATGGAGCAATTTCAAATTTTTTGAAATTTAATTTGACTGATATGCAAATTTGCATTTTAGTAAAAAAGGAACTTTACTTTTTTTACTAAAGGAACTGTTTATCTGTAGGTACAGTTAGTCATATACTTAGGTATCACCTTAGTATATGAGTGGAGCCTTCAGTTGAAACATAAGCTGCAGCAAATCATAATAACTGTTCCATCATACGAGTACTATATAAGGTATTTTGAGAACTTTCTATTATACTAAAAGTGTTTTTACAATATTGATTACAAATGATACCAGACAATAAAGTGAGCCTCGATTATCTATACTGATTATCTAGTGTATATACCAATTGTCTAGTGTCAATAATGGTTGCAAATAATAATTGAAAATAATATTTATAATTTTATGACAACTTAAAGCAATATGCTCAATTTTTGCTACATTAACCATAGTAACAACCACTCTGTTTTTGCTACGACATTGCCAACATCTACACAATATCTCAGTATTATCAGCTGATGCACTTACATAGAGTTTATTGTATCTGATTGATCAGATGCAACAAACTCTGCAAAAAAAAAAAAAAAATCGAAAGGTCTTTTTATTACGTTTATATTTACTTGGCATTTATTGCTTTGATAAACACAAGCTTACT